TGGTGTGCACTGCTAGCATGCTAGCCTGCGTAGCAAGCGTTTCCAATCGAGTTATTGCTTATTGCGCGAAAGATGGAAAGGGATTTTTTTGCTCTTGCCCTAACTTTCTCGACGAACTCATGCGGAAACGCTTACTACGCAGGCTGATGTTCCCCACGAGCACTTTCAAATCTTTTTATTTGTAACTCGTGACTATTCCATTGATTAATCTTTACTTTTATTAAGATGACACAGTCTATTCTTGCTCATGTTTGTCAAGGCTTGACTCGATCAACCACGAATTTGGTGCTGGGGGTTTTGATTTCAAGTAGAAACATTGCTCTTATCTTTACGAAATTTGGCAGGCAGTTTCCTATTCATGTTTGCATCCATTTGATGAACTTTTTCATTGTCAGAGAGACAACGCATGCAAGTTGAATTTAATGCTTCTCACATTTATAATACATGCATCACTTCTGTGAATGTCGGCGAATTTTATAGGATTTTTACTTTTAGATTCACTTTCTGGGCACTTTTTGATACGCTGCTAATGAATTTTATTTGAAACTTTGGTTTTTCTAATTATTCAAGATTTGAGGTCTAAGTTTACAACACACGGGTCAATATTGTGTTTACTTTGAAAATTCGCGAGCGGCAAACTCCGATAGCTTAGTTGGAATGATGAGATTGAAGGAGCAGTATAAATCTTCATAGGACTATGAATAACATTCTGATGACTTTTCAGAGCCGGTCGGCAAAAGTCGATCCCACAAATATCCACAAGAGTGGTTAATAACCAAAATCTCTTGCTGCCTGCTTGCTTGCTGCTCACTTAACGTCATCTTTGAATTTCAAAAAGTAACGCACGCATGCGCATTCTGTTTTTGTCTAGACGTTTCCCGCCCATTCGTTTCGGATAATAATAATAATAATAGTCCTATTATGGCTCTTGCCGAGAGGGACTGGGAAAACGCCGTACAGGGACTAGGCAATGCAAAATCTATGACGTCAGTGGGTAACAGTGCACTGTTACCCGCGAATGTTGACCAACAACCGCCGTTACAGAGACAGACGACCAATAACATCGCGACGTAATTGACCAATCAGATCACATCAGAGTATGATACTATCACCTGACGTGATACAACTCACTTTGACTCTGAAGATGACTACCGCACAGGTTGTCGAAACGTCAGTCACTGTCAATAACAACAGTCCTATTCAGGACTACGTTAACCCGGACGATCAAACTCAACCTACTGTTGGAATAACATTATAGCTAACTACAAATTAATCAGCCTCAACACCCTCTATGCATTCTCTAATATTTCAGAGGTTTCATTAAAATTCTGTTTCACTTCTTTCAGTATGTCTGTGTCACCTCGGAACAGTTTCTGCCAGAAAAACTGGAAAAACCTGTGGTACAAAGACCCGTTTATTACCATCAACACCAAGTCGACAATGGTCAGCGGTTTAGGTGCAGTAGGATTGACCGTATAAAACTTGAATGCTACTTGAGCTGACACAACAAGAAGCTTGCAAAGATTGTCCAGTGCGAAAATCGAAAGGGTGATACAATATGCTGCTCTTGTAATACGACGATAGTTTTTTGCTCTGCAAGGTGGATAGGTGAAGTTTAACTGATATATTAATTGGAGAGTCCAAATCTTAGAAGCAGCTACAAGGCACTCGATGTAGATTTTCGCGCCTCGATTCTGGTACATAATTAAGATATCGTAAATAATAACAAGAGATGTAATGCTGTTAAGAGACCAAAAATACGGCTGTCGAATAAGGTGCTTCCATATTGCTGTATAACCAAATGGTCTGAGCCCAGGAAATGAAGATCTCCTCATCAAACAAATGCAGATTGTCGCTGTCAAAATAGAACATATCAGCCATGTAGCTTTCCAACAGTAGGCATCGCAAACTGGCATGGAATAAAGAGTGAAGTTCGCACAGTCGACACTTGTGGCATCGTAGTACAAGGTGCAGTCAATAACAAATATGGAAAACATGACCAAAGACGCCAATCTAAACACCTGAAAAATGATAAACAATGCGGGAAATCCATCCGAAACCAGTTGGACAAATACTCGGCCGAGCTGTAGAAAGGTAAGTTAGAAATAAGCACTTTACTAAAGTGACATGATAAAAACTCAGGAAGAAGGACATTTAAGCGAAATTTAAAATGGGGGAAGGGCTCCACCTCGAGGTCCAACCCCTTTCCCTTTTATATACCATTAACGTCTTCTGTTAAGCGCTTCGTTCAGACTACTTTAACGTCTTAGACATAAGAACGGGACGCTGTAAATTGGGAAGCCATCGGGAGAAATGGCTATTGTTCTCGGGACATTTACTTACAGTCGGTGAAAGCTTCTAGGTCTGTCATATCGCTTATTGTTATTCTAAAATGCTGAACAGTAGTCTTTTTCATTAGTTAGCATGAACGCGCGGCAGTACTCTTCATCGTGGAGTAGGCGGGTGAAACTAACATATAGCCCAATCTCTCTATTGTTTTCCCTTTTGTGAGGTCAGATCACCCCTTTACGCATTTTAATTATTCCTCACAGATTACTGACTTAAAGATGAGTCGAAAATTTTAGTTTCGTTTCCTCGCATAAGAGTTTTAACTGAACTCTGACTGATTACTCTATGAGTAAGACGGCGGCAGAGAAAAAGTGAAGTCAAAAAAGAAGTCAGTTTGCCTTTAATTGAATAAATTACATGTGGGCGAAGATAACGTTCAATTAGAGTGATCAGTGCGAAGTTTAGAATCGGCCCTTCTGCATCGAAAATTAGTCTCCTGAATATTCCCGTCGGACGCACAATAAAGAAAAGTAAAAAAAAGAGGGACGTTTAATATAGACAACGATAGCAAGAAACATTTATTTTTAAAGTTGTGCCGCACTCTATAAAGAGAATTGGATGCTCTACGTGAATTTTCAGTCGAAAATGGCGATATTCGCGCAGGTGAAACCGCCAATAACCAATCTGAAACTAGATAAGCTTAAAACATAACCGAAACTGTATAACTTTTTAGTTAAGCGTGAATCTGATATCTTGAAAGCAATTTTGTCGGAGTAGCAAACGTAAGCCGCAAGTGCTCTGATGTCTTTAAATTTCGCGCCCGACTGGCTTCTCAATGTTGTCAACTGTTCAAAGCGACCGCGTATTGTTTTTTCAGGGCAACCATTGTTTCGACGAAGACAATGACTTCACGCCAACTGCGCGCTTACTTTAAACTTTATATTTTCAAACTTTAAAAGTCTGCAACTTAATCGAGTCAAATTTTTGCGAAAAAGCTATCCACGTGTAGGTAAGGCCTTTGTCTTAAATAAACCGATCTATAATATGAAGATTTGTGATTATTTTTGAAGAAATTCGATGTTTAACTTGGACAAGAGACGTTTTCCGTACTGAAAATACTGTAAAAACCCTGATTTTCAATGTTAAAAGTTTGCTTTCTTGGCACATTCACGCCTGATTAGCCCACCTCAATGGCTCATTGATATGCGTAAATGTCCGACCATTTCTCCCGATGATTTATGTCCAAATGTTACAGAGACGAATGTGAAGAGTCGGTGTTGCTGTTTTTTTTTTTTTTTTTTTTTAATTTTTTTTTCCCTTTCCCCATTTTAAAAAAAATAAAATTGAAAGTGTTTACTTACATTATCAAATTTTTCGAACCTTTTTTTAAAGGTTAATGAGGCCAGGGCAATCCTACAAACACTACAAATAAGCGCCCTGGTTTTCCGGTCCAGTTGGGGGATAAAATTTGGTGGGTGCAGGGTGGAGGTGTAAGCCGGTCGACGTCGCTTTTGTTAAGGCCCTATTTGTATTTAATGCTTCTCACATTTATAATACACGCATCACTTCTGTGAATGTCGGCGAATTTTATAGGATTTTTACTTTTAGATTCAGTTTCTGGGCACTTTTTGATACGCAGCTAATGAATTTTATTTGAAAGTTTGGTTTTTCTAATTATTCAAGATTTGAGGTCTAAGTTTACAACACACGGGTCAATATTGTGTTTACTTTGAAAATTCGCGAGCGGCAAACTCCGATAGCTCAGTTGGAATAATGAGATTGAAGGAGCAGTATAAATCTTCATAGGACTATGAATAACATTCTGATGACTTTTCAAAGCCGGTCGGCAAAAGTCGATCCTACAAATATCCACAAGAGTGGTTAATAACCAAAATCTCTTGCTGCCTGCTTGCTTGCTGCTCACAACATTAACGTCATCTTTGAATTTCAAAAAGTAACGCACGCATGCGCATTCTGTTTTTGTCTAGGCGTTTCCCGCCCGTTCGCCTCGGATAATAATAGTAATAATAGTCCTATTATGGCTCTTGCCGAGAGGGACTGGGAAAACGCCGTACAGGGACTAGGTAATGCAAAATCTATGACGTCAGTGGGTAACAGTGCACTGTTACCCGCGAATGTTGACCGACAACCGCCGTTACAGAGAGGTTTAATTATAAATTTACAGCTATATAACAAATCACTTAAAGATTGGTCAATTAACTGCTTCCCGAGAATCTCAATGTTTCCCAAGGCGGTAATTTCCAGCTATATAGCAAGAGATTCTCGGGAATCAAAATTAACTGTTTCTCTCGGGGCTAGTTATTAAGTGTTTAATCTTACCGGAGATTATCACCGGCTTATACTCAGAGATTAATTGCAATTACATTATAGAACTGTGAAAGACGGATCGAATGCACTAATTACTGATTACGCGTCTTCATAGCCAATAACATCACGGCTTAACTGACAGACGACCAATAACATCGCGACGTAATTGACCAATCAGATCAATATTCAGAGTATAATACCATCACCTGACGTGATGCAACTCACTTTGACTCTGAAGATGACTACCGCACAGGTTGTCGAAACGTCAGTCACTGTCAACAACAATAGTCCTATTCAGGACTACATTAACCCGGACGATCAAACTCAACCTACTTTTGGAATAACATTATAGCTAACTAAAAATTAATCAGCCTCAACACCCTCTATGCATTGTCTAATATTTCAGGGGTTTCATGTAAATTCTGTTTCACTTCTTTCAGTATGTCTTTGTCACCTCGGAAGAGTTTCTGCCAGAAAAACTGGAAAAAACTGTGGTACAAAGACCCGTTTATTACCATCAACACCAAGTCGACAATGGTCAGCGGTTTAGGTGCAGTAGGATTGACCGTGTAAAACTTGAATGCTACTTGGGCTGACACAACAAGAAGCTTGCAAAGATTGTCGAGTGCGAAAATCGTAAGGGTAATACAGTACGCTGCTCTTGTTATACGACGGAAGTCTTTTGCTCTACAAGGTGTATAGGTGAAGTTTAACTGATATATTAAATGCAGAGTCCAAATCTTAGAAGCAGCTACAAGGCACTCGATGTAGATTTTCGCGCCTCGATTCTGGTACATAATTAAGATATCGTAAATAATAACAAGAGCTGTAATGCTGTTAACAGACCAAAAATACGGCTTTCGAATAAGGCACTTCCATATTGCTGTATAACCAAATGGTCTGAGTTCAGGAAATGAAGATTTCCTCATCAAACAAATGCAGATTGTCGCTGTCAAAATAGAACATATCAGCCATGTAGCTTTCCAACAGTAGGCATCGCAAACTGGCATGGAATAAAGAGTGAAGTTCCCACAGTCGACACTTGTGGCATCGTAGTACAAGGTGCAGTCAATAACAAATATGGAAAACATGACCAAAGACGCCAATCTAAACACCTGAAAAATGATAAACAATGGGGGAAATCCATCCGAAACCAGTTGGACAAATACTCGGCCAAGCTGTAGAAAGGTAAGTTAGAAATAAGCACTTTACTAACATGATAAAAACTCAGGGAGAGGGACATTTAAGCAAAGTTTAAAATGGAGGAAGGGCTCCACCTCGAGGTCCAACCCCTTTCTCTTTTATATACCATTAACGTCTTCTGTTAAGCGCTTCGTTCAAACTACTTTAACGTCTTAGACATAAAAACGGGACGCCGTTAATTGGGAAGCCATCGGGAGAAATGGCTATTGTTCCCGGGACATTTACTTACAGTCGGTGAAAGCTTCTAGGTCTGTCATATCGCTTATTGTTATTCTAAAATGCTGAACAGTAGTCTTTTTCATTGGTTAGCATGAACGCGCGGCAGTACTCTTCATCGTGGAGTAGACGGGTAAAACTAACAATAGCCCAATCTCTCCATTGTTTTCCCTTTTGTGAGGTCAGATCACCCTTTTACGCATTTTAATTATTCCTCACAGATAACTGACTTAAAGATGAGTCGAAAATTTTAGTTTCGTTTCCCCCCATAAGAGTTTTAACTGAACTCTGACTGATTACTCTATGAGTAAGACGGCGGCAGAGAAAAAGTGAAGTCAAAAAAGAAGTCAGTTTGCCTTTAACTGAATAAATTACATGTGGGCGAAGATAACGTTCAACTAGAGTGATCAGTGCGAAGTTTAGAATCGGCCCTCTCGCATCGGAAATTAGTCTCCTGAATACGCAATAAAGAGATTGAAGTCAAAAAAAGAAGGACGTTTAATATAGACAACGATAGCAAGAAATATTTATTGTTAAAGTTGTGCCGCACTCTATAAAGAGAATTGGATGCTCTACATGAATTTTCAGTCGAAAATGGCGATATTCGCGCAGGTGAAACCGCCAATAAACAATCTGAAACTAGATAAGCTTATAACATAACCGAAACTGTATAACTTTCTAGTTAAGCGTGAATCTGATATCTTGAAAGCAATTTTGTCGGAGTAGCAAACGTAAGCCGCAAGTGCTCTGATGTCTTTAAATTTTGCGCGCGACTGGCTTCTCAATGGGGCCATTTATACGAGGAAAAATAAGACGCGTCTTACATAAGACGCGTCTTAAATAAGACGCGAACTTTTCGTATAAACGGCACATTTCGTCTAAAATAAAACGCGGCTTAGCTAAGACGCGTCTTAGCTAAGACGCGTCTTAGCTAAGACGCGTCTTATTAGATAAGACATACTGGTATAAATGGTACAGTTCGCGTCTTATGTAAGACGCGTCTTATTTTTCGTCGTATAAATGGCCCTAATGTTGCCAACTGTTCAAAGCGACCGCGTATTGTTTTTTCAGGGCAACCATTGTTTCGACAAAGACAATGACTTCACGCCAACTGCGCGCTAACTTTAAACTTTATATTTTCAAACTTTAAAAGTCTGCAACTTAATCGAGTCAAATTTTTGCGAAAACAGCTATCCACGTGAAGGCAAGGCCTTTGTCTTAAATAAACCGCTCTATAATATGAAGATTTGTGATTATTTTTGAAGAAATTCGATGTTTAACTTGGACAAGAGTCGTTTTCCATACTGAAAATAGTGTAAAAATCCTGATTTTCAATGTTAAAAGTCTGCTTTCTTGGCACATTCATGCCTGATTAGCCCACCTCAATGGCTCATTGATATGCGTAAATGTCCGACCATTTCTCCCGATGATTTATGTCTAAATGTTCTAGAGACGAATGTGAAGAGTCGGTGTTGCTGTCGTTGTTTTGTTGTTTTTTTCAATGTTATCGTCTACTTATGCGTCCTGTTTTTACGCCAGTCGACTTTAACGCCTCAGACGTTAAATACGTCTAGACGACTTTAACGGCCATTTTTGACAGAAAAGGTACCCCTTTGGCATACCTTCTATTAACATACCTATTTCAAAACACCATAAACAAGAGAGAATGATCTACTTATATTTTCCACCCGTTTTTCTCTCGATTACTTGGGAGGGCTGATTATGCGCAAGGCCGGTGACGGCGGTCAATATTAACGCTTCGAGAGGCATATTTTATATATATACACATACTTGACTTGTGAATCTAAGGTAAAAGGGCTTGGGAAGCTCCCAAAGGCCGCTGGAGAGTACTCCCCCTTTTGATCAATGCCTGGGTCCGCTTACCGCTGTAGCTATCTTACAGTGAACATGTTTTGACTTTTCTTTGATCGAGCTAATCGCTCCAGTCCGATGCTTATCATGTAAAGCAGTGCCAAAGTAATGTCATTTCTGACGAATGAGCCCGCGAAGAAGACAGAAATAAATATTTTGACGGCACGAGATACAACAGGGCTTGGGTACTAGGCCGGGTGCACCATGGGTAGCCATATCGGGGGTATATAAGGCAGCGTATACCACGTGTACGTCATCTGGGCTTACGAACCACCCTCTCTTTGGTTTTTCTTTATTTTTGTTTTATTTATTTTTAGGAGCAACATATTCCCGATGACATTGTAAAGTCCCGTAGGAAGGGCTTTGAGCTTGAGCCTTGGTTCCTACCCAGATTTCCTGCCCGCATTTTTTCCCTTCGGGGTTTTTTTGGGCAGGTTTTTTCTGGCCTCCGTCTGACCGCATCTACTTCAGTTTGTAAGCGGTAGCTCAGCTCTGCTAGTTTTCAGTTTTTTCCCGTTCCTTATTTTATGTACTTGTACAGTTATCTCAGTTTTGCACCTTCTCCTTTACTTGATATATTTAGTTTCTATATATGTCTAGGTCAGCTGTCC